TATATATATATATGTACAATTTAAGGTACATAAAGCAACAAGAATGAAAATTGAGGAGAAAAAATGCAAATTATATACAATTCCAAGTCTCAACAGTGCCAAGCTGCTAATGTTATAACCGGAAGAATAATTAGCGAAAATAAATTATTACCTAACATGAAACCGATACGAACGTTATAACAGGAAAAATACGAAAAGCAGAAAAAAGAAATAGTAAATAATCTAAGCAGCATCTATAACTTCACAAAAGAAAATACCCACAAAAGAAATAGCGCGAAATGGAAATTGAAGTAGAGGCACTGACAGAAATGACAACGTCATCATTTCTGCCGTTAGCGGTAAAATACCGCAAACAATCATACCTCCAAATGCTCCATGAGAGATAAGATAGAAGCCAAAAGCAAGTCAGATGAAAATTACATACTGAGATCTCCAAAATCGAAGTAGAAATATATAAATTTAACAGAAGAGAAATTCGATTTTTCGGATGAGAGTCAAGAGCCGCAGGTTTGAATTTAAAATTAGTTTGTTGCAAAATAGAGAACAAAAGATCTACGAATGAAATCTAGTTTTGAATAATATATATATATATATATATATTACTTACTTTTATAACTAATAACTCATTTAATGCCCTCCAACATGAGTCGGTCAGTTGGAACAGATATATTTAATTTACAACATTTTTCGTCTATAATAATTAGTTTACTACTGTATATATAAATAATTTAAACAAATATAAATTAAAGCCAAAGCTATAGTGGTTATGTTCTCCAAATAAATACTTTAGAAAATTCTTTTGCGGTTGGGAAAATATTTCGCAGAATCATTCATAATAATGTTTGATTTAACGACTATTTTTTTAAAAAAAAATATTAAATTTAAACATCAGAAGTATCATCTTTGCCCTGTTCGCCATAGGTTTATAAATATCGGAACAAATAGGAAAAGATGCAAATTATAAAAAATGCCTGGAATGCCTTATAAAAATATATATGGCTAGAAGAAGCTCATTAATATTGGGGGAAATAACTTCTGGGAAGAATAGAAAAAATAAATAGAAATTTTTCCCATATACCTACTTATCGTAAGTTCTTTTGAAGATTCTTTTCAACTCCTAAAAAACTTCAAGTATGCAAACAAAAATGGTCTGAGAGTAAACAGGAAAGAGAAAAAATAATAAGAAGATTGCAAAAAACCAAGGGTTTTTATTTTTATTCAAACTATACTAAACTGCATTATTTGCATATTCAGAAATAGCAACTTTTTCTAGGCTTATCAGAATTTATGTTTTATTCCTAAAAAATGATCTAATTATTTGATTCCTAAAATCTGCTTGTCGCTTCGCGGCCCAGGTACCCAATAAAATCGAAACACTAGTACTAGGACTAAAATCTGTAACTTGGCAAGTGTTGGTTTTTTATTATATTACCATCTTATATGCAATTTTGCAGAAAACGGAATAATTGGTATAGTTGCATGATTTTTAATTAATTATTTCGAATTTTGACTCAATTTAATTATTTAAGTGAAGAAATCCCTCCTTTATAGACCGTTCTTTTTTATCCCCTTAAAACGATAAAAACTTTTTATTATTTTTTACTTGAAAAAAATAAATCGTGATTAATAAATATTAATTTTGCGAAATAATTTGAATTTGTATTAGTTCAATTGTATGTATTTTGAAAATTCTTGATAGCTAACATTGGCGTCCCCTCCAATATTAGATATAAGAAAGAAATATATTTATCAGTAGTAGCGAACTAGAGCTGAGTTTGTTACAACAAATAGACATCCAATAAAACCCCTATGAATAATTATGAGCAGCGTCCCTTTTTTCACTAAAGGCAGAACTTTCCGGTAATCCTAATATTTTCTTTTCGGTAGATACTTATATTTTTATTTTTAAAATGAAGTATTTTGTCATGCCCAACTATTTAAAAGATTTCTCACTAATCTGTTATATTTCGTCGTGGAATATTAGATTCAAATAATTGAAATACTTAAATAGAATACTTAAATTTCTTAGAATACTTAAATTTCTTAGAATACTTAAATTTCTTAGAATACTTAAATACTTAAATTTCTTAGAATACTTAAATACTTAAATTTCTCAGAATACTTAAATTTCTTAGAATAATTAAATACTTAAATTTCTGCTTAACAGAAAAAGATTAAGGTTTTATTTATGAACTAATAACTTTTTTTTCAAATTTAGGAATGGTCGGATCACAAATTAAAATGGGATCCTGACGAATACGGTGGTGTAACTCATCTTTATGTTCCAGCTGAACAAATATGGCTACCAGATATAGTTCTTTATAACAAGTAAGATACAATTATGTTATTCTCTAATTAGAATATGAAATAGTTTACATAATGTATTTTCTTTAACTCATTCTTATCGAACAAGGATAATGAAAACAAATAGTAACTACAACTTAAAGAACACCGCAGTTTTTAATTTTTAATCTGCATTTACGTACTATTACATTTTTGGTCGCCGCAAAAATCCATCACCACAGTATCTAGATTAGTATATTAGGAATCTACTATACCACAATATCTATAGTACCTAATACCATAATTAATTGAGAAACAGTGGAGTCAATAATATTTTGCTAATAGTAGCTGAAAAGAGTAGCTATATTTTTAACGTATAATTTATGCGAGTCAAAAATTAAGAATATGAATGGACAAAAAAGCTTTAAAAGGAAAATTGTGATTTAAACTTGACAATAATTAAAGCTATGTCAGACTACCTAAATGGCATAAAGTGAAGTATTCAAGACTTAAATCTGCAACGTTAACACAACGCAACCACGTGATTAGACAGAACCATGTGATTAGTTGCCAGTACCCAATAACCATTGGCAGTGAAACTAAGTATACTGAAAATTATAAAAATGAAAAGTGTCCAAAAACTTAAAAAGTGATCTAATTTTATTGATAGTGAATGAGTGATAGACAATTTTATTTTACTTTTTCGATTTAAATAACATGTTCTAACTAGCGAAATGAATTTAAAATCGTCCAGAATATATATCCAGATATGCCAACATGCTCCGCTTTGCAAAAAAGTATTTTTTAGTGGTAACCAAATTTAGGTTATTTTCTCTTTAGTATTTATCCTTATAAATAATTTTTACATCACAACACACCAACACAGCTCAAATTATTGTATGAAATGCAAATTTATGGTATATCTTTTAAAGAGTAGGCGTAATTATCCCTATAGTTCTACTATTTAATTTAATTCGCAGACAATTCATTAAAACTATTGCAGAAAGCGGAGCAGTTAGCATCTCTGCATTTGAACTCTATATCCAGTCATCTAAGGAAAAGTTAACTCAAAGTTAATTAAAAGTTAACTGAAACTTAATTAAAAGTTAAGTAAAATTTTATTTTTCATCTTATCCCACCGTAAAACAATGTTCTTTTTTTTGGCCCTGCTTGCATTCTTGTAAATCCTATAAGTTTCAATGTATTTTAACAGAACTTCATGGATGAATATTTAGTGCATTTCTAGTACTACTTAATAATATTAAGTAGATATATTTATTGTCATATTATATGTATATTGCGATAGAATCGTAAATATAAAAAGTGATTTTCTATCCTTAAACTTTTCCAAAATTAAATTACGGTACAATTATTTTTGTTTTGTTTTTTCCAAAGTGCTGATGGAAATTACGAAGTCACGATCATGACGAAAGCCATCATTCACAATGACGGAAAGGTGGTTTGGAATCCTCCAGCCATCTACAAGAGCTCCTGCCAGATTGACGTCCAGTACTTCCCCTTCGATAAGCAAGACTGCTTCATGAAATTTGGCTCTTGGACCTATGACGGTTACCAAGTAAGTTTATCCAACTACCTATAAAATTTTATTCGGTAGTGAAATGCTGACTTAGTCCTTTTTCAGCCATAATAACTTTCTTCATAGTTTTGATACTAGTCGAAATTATTTTTTGTAATTCCGATGCAATATGCAGGATAAAGAAAAAAATGTATTTTTTCGAGAGATAAAAAAATTATTACTCTTAATCAAAATTTGAAAGATGTTATATGCCTCCAGGGCCTATTAACTTAAGCAATCAGTCTGGCTTATTATACGTATTGCTGTGTATCATTCTTTACTGTGTAGCTGAGAGAGTAATCGTGCTACCCCAGAGGGTTAAAGTATGCAAATATTATATTGATTTATCTTCATGCAGGACAAGGGCAAAAATTACTTATTATAAAATAAAAAAGTTTTTACACTTAAATACAATTTGAAAAATTATATATGTCTCCAGAACCTATAGACTTAAGCAATCAGTCTGCCAACTTTCTACATTTTGTGTAAAAATATATTCCAGTGGTACCTATGTCTAGGTTTCAGTGTATTATTTTTTATACATTTAAACTTATTTTCTATACCACTATAAATTCATCATACCACTATGAATTTCTATAACACATAAAAGATATAAAAGTTTACATGCAACGCAACTTTGTACTAGATCTTTCGTAGTGACGCTATCAAAACATTAAAAAATTTACTGAAAATTCTGAAAATTTTGGTTTTTAAACGTTTACCACAATATAAAACATTTTACCAAACGCGTAGTAGTTGGCAGGTCTGGTAGACGTAAAACCCCAGACGGTTAAAGTATACAAATTTTTATTATGACTTACTTTTTGATTCCAATGTAATATGCTGGATAAGGAAAAAATTCTTTTTTTTTAATGAACTAAATAAGTTATTACACTTAAACACAGTTTAAAAAATGTTATGCGTCTTCAAAGTCAATCAACTTAAGTAATCAGTCTTGTTCATTATTCTTATTGCTGTGTATTGTTTTTTGCTATGTACTATGTATTGTTTTATAAAGTACGCGTGCGGCACTTAACAACTTAGTATTAATAACTTAGTATCCCATATTTCTACACATTACATACACAGTATAACACAACAATTTACTCGGACCGCGGTATGCGAGTAACCACAAGGGGTCGCTGCCAAAGAACTAGTATTTCGCTAATATATAGTGAGTAGGGCAACCCAGAAACGAGCAGTATTACCGGAACGCTTGGGTCGTCTCTATAACAGAGAATTACACTTTTATTTAATCAATTTACTGATTAATTACAAGCAAATCAATTTTGTATATACATTCCTAACTATTATTTCTTATCCTCATATTTTTTCACTTTTACATATTTCATTTAACGCATACTTACTCACGTATTTTAATCTCGTTTTATTATTATTCTCGTATCTGTATATTTTATTACCTTATTGATTATTTAATAATACCGACTATTCTCGACATATGATTAGATCTTACGCTATGACCAATACGCAATCATGACTACTAATTACTTTGGTGTAAAACCATCACCTCTTACATCAGAAAGCCTCCTCACGGTTTCTAACAAGTAGTCTGCGCAGACTATTTAAAAAGTGAACAGGTTGTGCGTATGAACCCAAATTCTATTTTTAAAGTCTGGTCTCCTGAGGCCAATAACGGCCCTCTTGCCATTCAAAAAAAGGCAAGAGACAGATTTCATAAAATGCTACAAATAATGGCACATGTTAATTTTAAAAGAGACTGAGAGAAATTTTTCATATATATTTAACCCTTTAACGGGCCCTTTATTTCTAGTAAAGGTAAATTAAAGTATTTTTGGAATTGAAATTGTTTTAAGAACAGCAATTGATGTAAAAAAAAACTCATTTAGTTTATAAAAATGCCATTTTTTTGGTGATAAATATATTTAACATGACCTATTAGGAACTTACTGACTTTTATTTTTCTTTATTTATAAAATAAACTCCTTAAATGCTACAAACTTCAAAAGGAATTATGTATTTATAACTTTTATACGTTTTTTTAAAAGTGACAAATGGTTACCAATTTTATTCAAACTCACTTCAAGAAAGCTGAAGTTATTGAAAAATGGAAACCTAAATTAAAAGTGGTAAAACGTGGTAGTAAGTATACTTACCACGGCCTTGAAAAGGGTTAAGAATTGATTATGACTCGCCCGTCCCGAAAAGGATAAGTAACACTTTCAAATTGCATCAAGTCTTAAAACCTTAACGATTGGCTAATTTTCAAGAAAACGATCATAAAAGTGCCTATTTTTTTCAACTTTTGTATTTGTATGACGTATTTGATTAGTGGTGACATCTAGTTTAAAATAAGCTAACTATCTACAATTACCTTAAAAATATCCTGTTACTGCCATCTGGTGGGTAAAATTAGAAATAAAATGTTTTCCGGACAAAAGAAATGAATTAGTTTTATTCTTATTGGCGCGTCAGTATCACGGAAGCGAGAAATAGAGGGCGAAACCTCACCCCGTCATTTTCACGGGAGCGAGAAGATGGTAGACATTTTTTATTTATTTCCGGTATTACTGCAGAAATCAAAAATTGAATATTGTTTAATTCTTACAATTGCATACCTGCCAACTACTACGCTTTTTTTTTTGGTAAAATTTTTTACAGAGTGGTGGACATTTAAAAACCAAAGCTTTCAGAATTTTTTATAATTTCGCTAATATTTTAGAAGCCTCAGCACGAGAAATCTTGAATAAAGTGGCGTTGCATATTGACTTCAAAATTATTTATGTGCAGTGGTGTGAAAAATAAGTTTAAACTAATAAAAAGTAATACACTAAAACATTTAGTTTGCTATTACTAGTATAATTTTTTGCAAAAAGCCTGGAAAGTTGACAGGCCTGAAATTGTCACCCCTTAATTTTTTTAAAGTAATGTATGGGTGACCACCGGCTAAGTTCTCTTTATCCAAACAGTAAAAAATTTATTCCTTTATTTTTATGAATCCTACTCTCACTGTAAAAGAATGTATGTGTTGTTCACCCACATCTTTTATGACTCCTCATTTCCTTTCTTGACCACTCATTATTAAAATCAGCATTCACCTTTATCAATAACATCTAATCATATAGCACTTGTTTTCATTTTCTTATTGTAAAAATTTATTACAATATAGAAATTTGTTATTCAAACATATGGTGCTCATACACACAAGACGTCGGGTGGATCCCGGCTAAATAGGGCTCTAAATTAGGAACTAAACACTTCTTAGCAAAGTTCAAATTACCACAATATCAAGGTGCTTACGCGACTTAATTCTGTATGAGTATATACAACGATGCTCCACTGCATATACTTTGCTCCGCATTGTTAAAAAAAGTATTTTTTAGTGGTAGCGAAGTTTAACCCTTTTGAAGGCCGTGGTAAGTATACTTAACACAGCGTTTTACCACTTTTAATTTAGGTTTCCATTTTTCAATAACTTCAGCTTTCTTGAAGTGAGTTTGAATAAAATTGCTAACCATTTGCCATTTTTAAAAAACGTATAATATTTATAAAATACATAATTCTTTTTTAAGTTTGTAGCATTTAAGGGATTTATTTTATAAATAAAGAAAAATAAATGTCAGTAAGTTCCTAATAGGTCATGTTAAATATATTTACCACCAAAAAAATAGCATTTTTATAAACTAAATGAGTTTTTTTTTAATTATATCAATTACTATTCTTAAAACAATTTAAATTCCAAAAATACTTTAATTTACCTTTACTAGAAATAAAGGGCCCGTTAAAGGGTTAAGCTATTTTCCACCTCTACTCATCGAAAATTCAAAGCCTCATACATAATACAACTTTGCTGCAATTATCTCGTGGTCAGACATTTGAAAAGTTGGCGAAATTATTACTCAATCTGGTAGTATAACAATTTAATTCGATATACTTTCAAAGAAAGTGAATATATATGTATATATATATCATACATGCCAACTCTTCCGGATTTTCCGGAAGATTTTATTTTCATATTTAAAGTGGTAGCAATACTCATGTTATTCCAATTAACTTTTTGAATTATAATGATAATTATAAATGAGTTTGACCACCACTGCATGTAAATAATTACAATAAATATATAAAAGCATAATAATCCTTGCGCAAGCGAATTTAAACGGGATCAAAATAAAAATATATTTTTGAGTCAGATTGTTTTTCGTTAATTGTATTACAACTACTCAGAAAATCCATTCTCGGAAAGAGTGAAAGTTGGCAGGTATGATATATACTAAAGCATGAATGCTTATTTTTGGATCTGAAATTTAGAACTCAGTGCTTTTCTAATGTTAAAGTGATATAGAATAAAGGGATATACTCTTTTGGTATAAATATGTACTACAATTTTCATTACACAACTATTCATCATGTAAAGAACATTTCTGATTGCTGTGCTTTAAAAGGCAAAATAAATAAAAATGATATCGAATTTTTAGTGAAGGAAATTTAATAACTCTTGTTAGTTAACAAAATAAAAAAACTAGTTCTTCTCAAATTATTATAATTTTCAAATAAAAAAAACATAATTTTTATTATTCAATCGTAAGACCGCAAATTTGATTATAAAATCGTAAAATTTACGGATAACTATTAATAGTCGGCACCTCTGCTATTGTACCAGGCTTTTTAATTACATTGCATTAAAAGTTTTGCTATGAGCCGACCAGACTGCTTAGTTTGAATCCCGGACAACGCATGGATGTTCTTTCATTCTCTGTACTATCTGTCTTTACTATGGAACTAACCTTGGTCCATTAAATGTGGTGCCCCAGAAGGAGTAGCCAACAAATCTGCCTGAATGACGAGTGTCAAGCGGGTTGGTATTGGCAAAAAATATACACGTTATGGATGACAAATTAATATTGAAGAGCGATGAAAAATGTTATCATAATCTATCATGTCCTTACTGAGAAAGGTTAGGTTGAAAACATGAAAATCTGCTTGGTTGTCGTAAGAAACAGCAAAAAGAGTTGAAATGT